TAGTGGTTACACTGTAGTGTTTAGTGGTTACACTGTAGTGGTTACACTGTAGTGTTTAGTGGTTACACTGTAGTGGTTACACTGTAGTGTTTACACTGTAGTGGTTACACTGTAGTGTTTAGTGGTTACACTGTAGTGGTTACATTGTAGTGTTTACACTGTAGTGGTTACACTGTAGTGTTTAGTGGTTACACTGTAGTGTTTACACTGTAGTGTTTACACTGTAGTGTTTAGTGGTTACACTGTAGTGGTTACACTGTAGTGTTTACACTGTAGTGTTTAGTGGTTACACTGTAGTGTTTAGTGGTTACACTGTAGTGGTTACACTGTAGTGTTTAGTGGTTACACTGTAGTGTTTACACACTGTAGTGTATACACTGTAGTGTTTAGTGTATACACTGTAGTGTATACACTGTAGTGTTTATACACTGTAGTGTTTAGTGGTTACACTGTAGTGTTTAGTGTATACACTGTAGTGGTTACACTGTAGTGGTTACACTGTAGTGGTTACACTGTAGTGTTTAGTGTATACACTGTAGTGTATACACTGTAGTGTTTATACACTGTAGTGTTTAGTGTTTATACACTGTAGTGTTTAGTGTTTACACTGTAGTGTTTAGTGTATACACTGTAGTGGTTACACTGTAGTGTTTAGTGGTTACACTGTAGTGGTTATACTGTAGTGTTTACACTGTAGTGTTTAGTGGTTACACTGCAGTGGTTACACTGTAGTGTTTAGTGTATACACTGTAGTGTATACACTGTAGTGTTATACACTGTAGTGTTTAGTGGTTACACTGTAGTGTTACACTGTAGTGTTTACACTGTAGTGTTTAGTGGTTACCACTGTAGTGTTTAGTGGTTACACTGCAGTGGTTACACTGTAGTGTTTACACTGTAGGTGTTTTAGTGTATACACTACAGTGTAACCACTACAGTGTAACCACTAAACACTACAGTGTGTAAACACTACAGTGTATCCACTACAGTGTATCCACTAAACACTACAGTGTAAACACTACAGTGTATACACTACAGTGTATACACTGTAGTGTATACACTGTAGTGTTTACACTGTAGTGTTTACACACTGTAGTGTTTACACTGTAGTGTTTACACTGTAGTGTTTAGTGGTTACACTGTAGTGTTTACACTGTAGTGTTTAGTGTATACACTGTAGTGTATACACTGTAGTGTTTACACTGTAGTGGTTACACTGTAGTGTTTAGTGGTTACACTGTAGTGGTTACACTGTAGTGGTTACACTGTAGTGTTTAGTGGTTACACTGTAGTGTTTACACTGTAGTGTATACACTGTAGTGGTTACACTGTAGTGTTTAGTGGTTACACTGTAGTGGTTACACTGTAGTGGTTACACTGTAGTGTTTACACTGTAGTGTTTAGTGTATACACTGTAGTGTATACACTGTAGTGTATACACTGTAGTGGTTACACTGTAGTGTTTAGTGGTTACACTGTAGTGGTTACACTGTAGTGTTTAGTGGTTACACTGTAGTGGTTACATTGTAGTGGTTACACTGTAGTGGTTACACTGTAGTGTTTAGTGGTTACACTGTAGTGTTTACACTGTAGTGTTTAGTGTATACACTGTAGTGGTTACATTGTAGTGTTTACACTGTAGTGGTTACACTGTAGTGTTTAGTGGTTACACTGTAGTGGTTACACTGTAGTGGTTACACTGTAGTGTTTACACTGTAGTGTTTAGTGTATACACTGTAGTGTATACACTGTAGTGTTTACACTGTAGTGGTTACACTGTAGTGTTTAGTGGTTACACTGTAGTGGTTACACTGTAGTGTTTAGTGGTTACACTGTAGTGGTTACATTGTAGTGTTTACACTGTAGTGGTTACACTGTAGTGTTTAGTGGTTACACTGTAGTGGTTACATTGTAGTGTTTACACTGTAGTGGTTACACTATAGTGTTTAGTGGTTACACTGTAGTGGTTACACTGTAGTGTTTACACTGTAGTGTTTAGTGTATACACTGTAGTGTATACACTGTAGTGTTTACACTGTAGTGGTTACACTGTAGTGTTTAGTGGTTACACTGTAGTGGTTACACTGTAGTGTTTAGTGGTTACACTGTAGTGGTTACACTGTAGTGTTTAGTGGTTACACTGTAGTGGTTACATTGTAGTGTTTACACTGTAGTGGTTACACTGTAGTGTTTAGTGGTTACACTGTAGTGGTTACACTGTAGTGTTTACACTGTAGTGTTTAGTGTATACACTGTAGTGTATACACTGTAGTGTTTATACACTGTAGTGTTTAGTGGTTACACTGTAGTGTTTAGTGTATACACTGTAGTGGTTACACTGTAGTGTTTACACTGTAGTGTTTACACTGTAGTGTTTAGTGGTTACACTGTAGTGGTTACACTGTAGTGTTTACACTGTAGTGTTTAGTGGTTACACTGTAGTGTTTAGTGGTTACACTGTAGTGGTTACACTGTAGTGTTTAGTGGTTACACTGTAGTGTTTACACACTGTAGTGTATACACTGTAGTGTTTAGTGGTTACACTGTAGTGTATACACTGTAGTGGTTACACTGTAGTGGTTACACTGTAGTGTTTACACTGTAGTGTTTAGTGTATACACTGTAGTGTATACACTGTAGTGTTTAGTGGTTACACTGTAGTGTTTAGTGTATACACTGTAGTGGTTACACTGTAGTGGTTACACTGTAGTGTTTACACTGTAGTGTTTAGTGTATACACTGTAGTGTATACACTGTAGTGTTTATACACTGTAGTGTTTAGTGTTTACACTGTAGTGTTTAGTGTATACACTGTAGTGGTTACACTGTAGTGTTTACACTGTAGTGTTTACACTGTAGTGTTTAGTGGTTACACTGTAGTGGTTACACTGTAGTGTTTACACTGTAGTGTTTAGTGGTTACACTGTAGTGTTAGTGGTTACACTGCAGTGGTTACACTGTAGTGTTTAGTGTATACACTGTAGTGTATACACTGTAGTGTTTATACACTGTAGTGTTTAGTGGTTACACTGTAGTGTTTACACTGTAGTGTTTACACTGTAGTGTTTAGTGGTTACACTAGTGTTTAGTGGTTACACTGCAGTGGTTACACTGTAGTGGTTACACTGTAGTGTTTAGTGGTTACACTGTAGTGGTTACATTGTAGTGTTTACACTGTAGTGGTTACACTGTAGTGTTTAGTGGTTACACTGTAGTGGTTACATTGTAGTGTTTACACTGTAGTGGTTACACTGTAGTGTTTAGTGGTTACACTGTAGTGGTTACACTGTAGTGTTTAGTGTATACACTGTAGTGTATACACTGTAGTGTTTACACTGTAGTGGTTACACTGTAGTGTTTAGTGGTTACACTGTAGTGGTTACACTGTAGTGGTTACACTGTAGTGTTTAGTGGTTACACTGTAGTGGTTACACTGTAGTGTTTACACTGTAGTGGTTACACTGTAGTGTTTAGTGGTTACACTGTAGTGGTTACATTGTAGTGTTTACACTGTAGTGGTTACACTGTAGTGTTTAGTGGTTACACTGTAGTGTTTACACTGTAGTGTTTACACTGTAGTGTTTAGTGGTTACACTGTAGTGTTTAGTGGTTACACTGTAGTGGTTACACTGTAGTGTTTAGTGGTTACACTGTAGTGTTTACACACTGTAGTGTATACACTGTAGTGTTTAGTGTATACACTGTAGTGTATACACTGTAGTGTTTATACACTGTAGTGTTTAGTGGTTACACTGTAGTGTTTAGTGTATACACTGTAGTGGTTACACTGTAGTGGTTACACTGTAGTGGTTACACTGTAGTGTTTAGTGTATACACTGTAGTGTATACACTGTAGTGTTTATACACTGTAGTGTTTAGTGTTTATACACTGTAGTGTTTAGTGTTTACACTGTAGTGTTTAGTGTATACACTGTAGTGGTTACACTGTAGTGTTTAGTGGTTACACTGTAGTGGTTATACTGTAGTGTTTACACTGTAGTGTTTAGTGGTTACACTGCAGTGGTTACACTGTAGTGTTTAGTGTATACACTGTAGTGTATACACTGTAGTGTTTATACACTGTAGTGTTTAGTGGTTACACTGTAGTGTTTACACTGTAGTGTTTACACTGTAGTGTTTAGTGGTTACACTGTAGTGTTTAGTGGTTACACTGCAGTGGTTACACTGTAGTGTTTACACTGTAGTGTTTAGTGTATACACTACAGTGTAACCACTACAGTGTAACCACTAAACACTACAGTGTGTAAACACTACAGTGTATCCACTACAGTGTATCCACTAAACACTACAGTGTAAACACTACAGTGTATACACTACAGTGTATACACTGTAGTGTATACACTGTAGTGGTTACACTGTAGGTTGAAATGGGTTTTTATAAACGTAGAGTAAGAAGTGCGATCTCTGACTGTTGGTAGAAATATAAAGTAGCTTTAAACTGAAATACTCAAGTAAAGTACACATTTGTCAACAAAGTACTTCATTACAATACTTGAGTAAATGTACTCAGTTACTATGCTAGATAGATGACGTTTTCTATTTTTCCAAAAATTCAGACTTAATTCTGAACATTTCCGAATTCTTAATTTTTCCTGAAAATCTCAGAATTGTGATATTTTTCCAAAATGTTTATCTTTATTATACATTTCAACATGAGCTTTATGTGTATTGCACACTGTGTTTATTGATCAGTTCTTACAGGCATGTAAGAACATGAACCCAGAGATGAGTCATTATTCCTGTTAACGAGCTCACGAGGTTAACGAGCCGTCAGAGTGACTGTGCTGAGTGTTGCATTGTGGGAGTGGTTGCTGAAAGGAGACAGTGGGCCCATTGACTCTGGGAACAGACCCCCTGTTGTGAGAGACTCTGAGGTCTCTGCATGATAACTAAAGCTTCACTAATGTTCTGCCCCCTGTCGCCCCCTGCTGTCTGGTTCATCTGACTTGGTGTTTATTGTTTTGTTTCCCCCCCTTCAGGCGAAGAAGCCTCTTTGCCTTCCTTACCCTCCTGCCGTCCTGCCTCTGGACTGACTATCTTTTGGCTTTTTATATTAACCCTTGGTAAGTAATCACCTAAAGCCACAGGTCACAGTATCCTCAGAGACACTGTTTCCCTCTCTGGAGACACGTTTAATAAGAGGTCATCGTTTGTATTGTTTCCTGATGTCAACTAATCCCAGGGACACCAAACTCAAGTTTCACAAAGAAGTGGAAAAAGGGAATTTATCATTTTTTATAATAAAACTAAAAAATGTATAATTAAAGAAAAACTAAACATTTTCTCCGGGATTCAAAACGTACATTTTTATCAGAAAAATATATTTTTTTAAACACAGAAATTTGCAAAAACATGATTTCTATGAAACATATTTAGGAATATATATCACCTCTTTACAAGAAGAAAATAAAATCATGAAAACATCATAAATGTACAAGAAAATACATCACAACTTGCAGACATCAGACATCAGACGAGGATACAAATATGAAAAGAAAATCACAAAATAAATATTGAATCCCAGAGATGTACATTGTTGAGTTTTGTTATTATTAAGTAAATAAAGCTGGCTCCACAAACCTTGGGATTATTGACAAGAACCAATCACAGGAAACCACCGACTCTTATTTTCAAATTTAAAAATGTCTTCTTTAAAGTCCAGTTTGATTGACGGGGAAACAGGAAGTCAGCAGACGTTGAACTTTGTCCTGCGATGCTGTGTCTGTGGTCTCACAAATATAACCTGTGGATGTAGCACGATGCTAACTGTGAGGCTAACTGTGAGGCTAACTGTTGGTGCTAACTGTGATGCTAACTGTGAGGCCAACTGTGATGCTAACTGTGAGGCTAACTGTGAGGCTAACTGTTGGTGCTAACTGTGATGCTAACTGTGAGGCCAACTGTGATGCTAACTGTGGTGCTAACTGTGATGCTAACTGTTGATGCTAACTGTGATGCTAACTGTGAGGCCAACTGTGATGCTAACTGTGGTGCTAACTGTGATGCTAACTGTGATGCCAACTGTTGGTGCTAACTGTGATGCTAACTGTTGGTGCTAACTGTTGGTACTAACTGTTGGTGCTAACTGTTGGTGCTAACTGTGATGCTAACTGTTGGTACTAACTGTTGGTGCTAACTGTTGGTGCTAACTGTGATGCTAACTGTTGGTACTAACTGTTGGTGCTAACTGTTGGTGCTAACTGTTGGTGCTAACTGTGATGCTAACTGTTGGTGCTAACTGTTGGTGCTAACTGTGATGCTAGCTGTTGGTGCTAACTGTTGGTGCTAACTGTTGGTGCTAACTGTAGGTGCTAACTACGCTCTGCATGCCGTCAGTCTTTCTCTTCTTGTTTGTTTTTAAACTAAAGATTTCTCTGAGCTCTGATTGGCTGATTATTCTGTATATTCCGGTGTGCATGTTCCTGGTTAAAACTTTAACATGTGACGATGTACTCGGGCCATTGTAGGTACAAATAAATAGATAAATATGGCGCCATAAAAGGGATGTAAAAATCTGAATTTCCAGATTAAAGTTGAATTTAAAGTGGACCTATCATGCTATATTTGAATAATATAGTGTAGGACCATACCTATATAAGGCATATTTATACTTTTTTCTTTTCAAAATACCAAACAGATCATGCATTTTAGCCATGCCTCATTTTGCTCAATTTGACATTTTCTAGCTCTGTTTTAGCAAGGGCTGATTCTGTGAGAACAGCACCACCTACAGGCCTGGCATATGTACTACAGCGTCTCCAGCGCTTTCGAACGGCAATGGCCGTGGCTGTCTCCTCCTGATTGGTGGAGTTGGCCCAATAGCCGTAGCGCCACCGTCCTGACGTCAGGACAGTGTTCAAATCTGGATCAGTTTTTATCAGATCCGTTGCAGCCCCTTTTTTAGAGATTTGGGTATGGAGGAAAATAGAGAGGGTTGTGTTTTCTGACACTTGGTGAGTTCCCTGGAACACCGGGGACACATATTCATGTAGAAAAGACGTACACAAGTGCATTTTGCATGATAGGTCCCCTTTAAAGTAAAAAATGTTAATGTTTTTTTTAATTCAAGATATTCTAAACGGATTAATTTGCAACAAAAAAAAATGCAATTTCCATTAAAGCAAAGCAAATGTAAGTATGGAAGAGGATTCGGGACTTTTTATTTTTTTAATTTCAGATTTTTCTCAAAAAAAGTCAGAACTCGGAAAACACTTTTTTTTCTTTTCAAAATGTTGATATTTTCTCAGAATTCTGACTTATATCAGAATGTTGACCCTTCCTCTAATCTCCCCCGATAACAATGGCCCTGACAAACCGTCGGTCGTTATGAAATCACTCAGAGATTCAATCTTTAAAAACAGAAGCGAGAGGTTTACATTGAAATGACTGCATGTTTGATATTAAGCTTTCTTTAAAGTATTAATATTTTAAACGAACGAGAGCTGAGCATGATATTCATTCTCTGTAAAATAAGGTTAGTATTTTAAAGGGTTCAACCGATGGATGGGTTTCATACAGCGAAGATAAAAAAACGTACATTTTTAAACGTAAATGTTTGAAAAAGCATCCAAAAATATTATATTAGTATTTAAAAAAAATTGAAACTTGACAAGACATTTATTTACTTATTTTAATAAAGTTTAAACAACATACAATTAAACAACCTTTTAGTTGTATTGGTGACGTCTTATTTTATATTTGAAAGCACAATAACAATACCTCCATCGGTCTAACCCTCCTGTTCTGTTTAAAGCATAGCGCTCTTTATTATAATATTTATTTATTATATTCTTTATTCTGTCCGTTTCTCATCGTGAGGATTTTTATAACCTTTGTATTTTTTTAGGAGCAAGACAGCTTTAAAGAAGCGGAAACTAACCAGGTAACATCTAACGTTTCTTCATCCTCCACCTGTGTGTGTGTGTGTGTGTGTGTGTGTGTGTGTGTGTGTGTGTGTGTGTGTGTGTGTGTGTGTGTGTGTGTGTGTGTGTGTGTGTGTGTGTGTGTGTGTGTGTGTGTGTGTGTGGTGTGTGTGTGTGTGTGTGTGTGTGTGTGTGTGTGTGTGTGTGTGTGTGTGTGTGTGTGTGTGTGTGTGTGTGTGTGTGTGTAATACGTCAGTGTCTGATTTGTTGTTATCTCCTGACTCTTTGTTGTGTCTGCTCTCAGCCCGGTGCAGCTGGACGACTTCGAGGCGTACTTCAGAGAGATGAGCAAAGACTCTGCGTACAAGTTCTCCCTGCAGTTTGAGGTACGGCTCATCTACCTTCAACTTTATTTATTTATTTTATTTATTTTATTTATTTTATTTATTTTATTTATTTATTTATTTATTTATTATTTATTTATTTATTTTATTTATTTTATTGTTCCTCATGTTCCTCATGTTCTCTGTTCTCCAGGAGCTGAAGAGTGTGGGTCTGGATCTCTCCCACGATGCAGCTGATCTACCCGTGAACCGTCCGAAGAACCGATACACGAACATCCTGCCGTGTACGAGACATTGTTCTTTATTTAAAGTTCCTCCAGTTCTCTGGTTCTAAACCTTTCTGACTGGTGTCAGGTTAAGGTTAGGGTTCCACAAACAGGGTTAGGGTTAGGGTTCCACAAACAGGGTTAGGGTTCCACAAACAGGGTTAGGGTTAGGGGTCCACAAACAGGGTTAGGGTTAGGGTTCCACAAACAGGGTTAGGGTTAGGGTTCCACAAACAGGGTTAGGGTTAGGGTTCCACAAACAGGGTTAGGGTTCCACAAACAGGGTTAGGGTTCCACAAACAGGGTTAGGGTTAGGGGTCCACAAACAGGGTTAGGGTTAGGGGTCCACAAACAGGGTTAGGGTTCCACAAACAGGGTTAGGGTTAGGGGTCCACAAACAGGGTTAGGGTTAGGGTTCCACAAACAGGGTTAGGGTTAGGGTTCCACAAACAGGGTTAGGGTTAGGGGTCCACAAACAGGGTTAGGGTTAGGGTTCCACAGACAGGGTTAGGGTTAGGGGTCCACAAACAGGGTTAGGGGTCCACAAACAGGGTTAGGGTTAGGGGTCCACAAACAGGGTTAGGGTTCCACAAACAGGGTTAGGGTTAGGGGTCCACAAACAGGGTTAGGGGTCCACAAACAGGGTTAGGGTTAGGGGTCCACAAACAGGGTTAGGGTTAGGGGTCCACAAACAGTGGATACAAAATGTTTTGGGTGGAAATAAAATGCTCTCTCTAACCTGCGTTCCCCTGAGATCCCCTGCAGCACCTCTAGGGGTCCCTGTAGCACCTCTAGGGTCCCTGCAGCACCTCTAGGGTCCCTGCAGCACCTCTAGGGTCCATGTAGCTCCTCTAGGGGTCCCTGTAGCACCTCTAGGGTCCCTGCAGCACCTCTAGGGTCCCTGTAGCCCCTCTAGGGTCCCTGTAGCACCTCTAGGGGTCCCTGCAGCACCTCTAGGGTCCCTGTAGCTCCTCTAGGGTCCCTGTATCACCTCTAGGGTCCCTGCAGCACCTCTAGGGTCCCTGTAGCACCTCTAGGGTCCCTGCAGCACCCCCGGGGGTCCCGGTACCTTTAAAGATTGTTGATCATTTAAACCAGGCATGGGCAAACAAAAGCCCAACGGGCCATATACGGCCCGTTGGGCTTTAGAATCCGGCCCGCCGAATATTGGTACAAAATTGTCCAAATTATAGGAAAGACCGCATTCATTTTGCCTTTTTCCTGCAATACCTGGCATTCCAGTTGATCCCACTAGATGGCGCACTCTAGACACAATGACCTTTGCTGGAGTCTGGTCTATTCTCTCAGCTGGCCCCACTCGGCAACCCGGCAAGATCAGAGAACCAAATACGTCACGCTTACATTGGAGGGGGTCGAGATTAACCTGAGCAGCAATAACAGTTCATGGCGAAATACAAGTTGTAACAAGTTAAACAGTAGCGCTGAGCAAAGGGACTAGAACGCGACCACACACTTATAAAAAACACTTATATAAAGTCAGGCAACACTAACCAGCTGAGTGTGATTCTGTTTATTTTGTGTAGAAAACGGTTTATGCCACAATATGACACGAGATAGTCTGATTAGCTTCGGTTGCTATGCTAACATCACCTGTATAATGCCAGAGAAACTTTCATAACAGCGTTGTGATGCCGAACAGCTTTCAGACTAAAACACATTCACTGATGGGGATGGGGGATATTTATCAGCTGCTTGTGTGACAGTCAGACAGTGAATACTTTACAGCGGCCGCTGCCACGAGTTAACGGTAGAATAAACTCCGATGGACGAGCAGCACTGCAGCGGGCGGTAATGCCACTGAACCACATTAATAAACACCACGGCACTCTGGAGAAAGGTATAAGGCTGGAGAAGTAGTTCTTTAATTTAATCTGGCTTCGTATGATTAAAAACTACCAGACGCAGTTCTCTATTGATGTTGTTGTGAGCGGTGTTGCGGAGAAAATCAGCGACGTAAAACGCTGTGTGGGTCATTAGAAGGCACGTAAACGGTTACGTCATGACGCAAACGATGACGCAATGACGCAATAACTCACCTTTGAACCTAATTCACCTTTGAACCTAATTCACCTTTGAACCTGCATCTGTATGAGTGGACCAAAGAAAAGAAAAGTCGACAATGAGTGCCGAGTGTATACTGAGGAGTGGACAGCTAAATATTTTTTCACCGATCTGCTACTGGCCCATCTGTTACATTTTAAAACTCATAGTGGCCCCCGAGCCAAAAAGTTTGCCCACCCCTGATTTAAACAGATCTTAATATTTCTGATGTTCTCCTCAGACGACTTCAGCCGGGTGCAGCTGCTCTCTCTGCACCACGACGAGGGCTCCGACTACATCAACGCCAACTACATCCCCGTCAGTCCCTTACTGTTATTGTTATTGTTATTATCATTATTATTAAATAATGTTATACATATATGTGTATTTGTACACAGGGCTATAAGACCCCCCAGGAGTATGAGAGTATTTATATATGTGTATTTGTACACAGGGCTATAAGACCCCCCAGGAGTATGAGAGTATTTATATATGTGTATTTGTACACAGGGCTATAAGACCCCCCAGGAGTATGAGAGTATTTATATATGTGTATTTGTACACAGGGCTATAAGACCCCCCAGGAGTATGAGAGTATTTATATATGTGTATTTGTACACAGGGCTATAAGACCCCCCAGGAGTATGAGAGTATTTATATATGTGTATTTGTACACAGGGCTATAAGACCCCCCAGGAGTACATAGCGACCCAGGGCCCGCTCCCTGAGACCAGGAATGATTTCTGGAAGATGATCCTCCAGGAGAAGAGCTGTGTGATCGTGATGCTGACGCAGTGCAGCGAGAGACGCAGGGTGAGTACTGCTGAGTACTTATATACACCTGTACTACAACTGTACTACACCTGTACTATATATACTGACGCAGTGCAGCGAGAGACGCAGGGTGAGTACTCAGTACTGCAAAGTACTGTAGTACACCTGTCAGGTACTTTATATATACTTGACCTCAGCTGCATGTCTCAGGTGTGTGTCTCAGGTGTGTGTATACAGGTGTGTGTATACAGGTGTGTGTATACAGGTGTGTGTATACAGGTGTGTGTATACAGGTGTGTGTCTCAGGTGTGTGTAATCCAGGTATTATTGTGTGTCCCAGGTGAAGTGCACTACAGGTGTGTGTGTGTGTGTGTGTGTGTATGTATACAGGTGTGTGTGTGTGAGTGTACAGGTGTGTGTGTCCCAGGTGTGTGTGTGTGTCCCAGGTGTGTGTGTGTGTGTGTGTCCCAGGTGTGTGTGTGTGTGTGTGTGTCCCAGGTGTGTGTGTGTGTGTGTAATCCAGGTGTGTGTGTGTGTGTGTGTGTGTGTGTGTGTGTAATCCAGGTGTGTGTGTGTGTGTGTGTGTGTGTGTGTGTGTGTAATCCAGGTGTGTGTGTGTGTACAGGTATGTGTACTACAGGTGTGTGTGTCTCAGGTGTGTGTGTACAGGTGTGTGTAATCCAGGTGTGTGTGTGTGTCCCAGGTGAAGTGCGACCACTACTGGCCGTTCTCAGACGAGCCGGTTCTGTACGGAGAGATCAGCGTGGAGCTGCTGTCGGAGAGCGAGGCTCCGGAGTGGATCGTCAGGAAGTTCAGACTGGGATACGTGAGTCACCTGTGTGGGTCGGTTATCTGAGGGGGGGGGATACCTGGGGGGAGGGGGGTTATCTGGGGGGGGGTTATCTGAGCGGGGGGGGGGGTACTGTATATTACTGAGATATTTACAGACCAGCACAGAGTTAAAGCAGCCATAAATCTGTCCTCCAGGGGGCGCCACCACCCTGTCTAAATCCTGTAGAACACATCAGATAAAGGGTTCATTTAGTGATTACTTTTATAAGTTATGACATGATATCATTACTTAAATATTATATTAAACAATCTTTATGTTTATATACTTTTTTAGATTTTTCTTTTTTTAGTAAAATGTCTTTTTTTCAATACTTGTATCAGTTGGTATGTTTTTTACGTACGTGAACATCTATCTTAAATGGTACATGTTTATGAGATCAAAGGCATTTATTAGGATCATAAATACATGGATCCTGATATTGAAGCTCAAGCCGCTGACCAGTGAGAGTTTTCTAACACTAACTCTCCCCCCCCCCCCCCCAGGCGGACGAGTCCCAGGACGTCCTGCACCTGAACTACACATCGTGGCCGGATCACGGCGTGCCCACGGTGAACGCCATCGAGAGCATCCTGCAGTTCGTGAGCATCGTGCGTCAGCAGGCCGGGAGGAGCAAGACGCCCGTCACCGTGCACTGCAGGTTACTATCTTCAATCACCTTTAATATTCACTAAGGGTTACTGACGTCACCGTGCACTGCAGGTTGATCGGCATCATGTAAACACAGACAACACACGGACACTGACGCACTATTGCTGATTACATTTGTTTATTGAGGAGTTTATTGGACTTGGTGAGAGAGTAAAGCTGCTTTCAGGGACCATGAATCCCCTCCTGGAGGTTTCATTTCCATGTGTCTCTGCTGAATGTTGATAATCTTTGTTATTCAGTGAGGTTTATCTGTTTTAATGCTGTGTTTCAGTGCGGGGGTGGGCCGCACCGGCACCTTCATGGCTCTGGACCGCCTGATGCAGCACATCAGAGAGCACGAGTTCACTGACATCCTGGGTTTGGTCTCTGAGATGAGGTCGCACCGGCTGTCCATGGTGCAGACCGAGGTAAACATGGAGGAAAGAGACCTGGAGCAGGAGCAAAGGGTTAATGTGGGGTTTGATCAGGATGCAAAGGGTTAATGAGGGGTTTGATCAGGATGCAAAGGGTTAATGAGGGGTTTGATCAGGATTCAAAGGGTTAATGAGGGGTTTGATCAGGATGCAAAGGGTTAATGTGGGGTTTGATCAGGATTCAAAGGGTTAATGAGGGGTTTGATCAGGATGCAAAGAGTTAATGAGGGGTTTGATCAGGATGCAAAGGGTTAATGTGGGGTTTGATCAGGATTCAAAGGGTTAATGAGGGGTTTGATCAGGATGCAAAGAGTTAATGAGGGGTTTGATCAGGATTCAAAGGGTTAATGTGGGGTTTGATCAGGATGCAAAGGGTTAATGTGGGGTTTGATCAGGATGCAAAGGGTTAATGAGGGGTTTGATCAGGATTCAAAGGGTTAATGAGGGGTTTGATCAGGATTCAAAGGGTTAATGAGGGGTTTGATCAGGATGCAAAGGGTTAATGTGGGGTTTGATCAGGATTCAAAGGGTTAATGAGGGGTTTGATCAGGATGCAAAGAGTTAATGAGGGGTTTGATCAGGATGCAAAGGGTTAATGTGGGGTTTGATCAGGATGCAAAGGGTTAATGAGGGGTTTGATCAGGATGCAAAGGGTTAATGAGGGGTTTGATCAGGATTCAAAGAGTTAATGAGGGGTTTGATCAGGATTCAAAGGGTTAATGTGGGGTTTGATCAGGATGCAAAGGGTTAATGTGGGGTTTGATCAGGATGCAAAGGGTTAATGAGGGGTTTGATCAGGATGCAAAGGGTTAATGAGGGGTTTGATCAGGATGCAAAGGGTTAATGTGGGGTTTGATCAGGATTCAAAGGGTTAATGTGGGGTTTGATCAGGATTCAAAGGGTTAATGTGGGGTTTGATCAGGATGCAAAGGGTTAATGAGGGGTTTGATCAGGATGCAAAGGGTTAATGAGGGGTTTGATCAGGATTCAAAGGGTTAATGTGGGGTTTGATCAGGATGCAAAGGGTTAATGTGGGGTTTGATCAGGATGCAAAGGGTTAATGAGGGGTTTGGTAGAAAAGCAAAATATAGTCAGTGTTGTATTTATTGTAAAAAGTCATAAAATAGTTAAATAAGTTGTAAAAAAGTGATTGTGTGTGTGTGTGTGTGTGTGTGTGTGTGTGTGTGTGTGTGTGTGTGTGTGTGTGTGTGTGTGTGTGTGTGTGTGTGTGTGTGTGTGTGTGTGTGTGTGTGTGTGTAGGAGCAGTACGTGTTCATCCATCAGTGTGTGCTGTTGATGTGGCAGAAGAAGAAGCAGCAGAGCTTGACCTCAGACGTGATCTACGAGAACGCCAGCAAGACATAGAACCTGGAGAACCTGGAGAACCCTCCAACGTGAGTTCACTATTAGAATATAAACATAATAATACAACATAGTGCAGTACTATGACTTGTTCCTACTTCTCCACAGACAGCACTTGGGTCTAAAACGACTCATCGTGATATTCTCCCAAACATGTTCTCAGAGATAACACAACACCGGGTTTAAAGCCACAAAGAGCAACATTTTTAAGCAACATATTTACAAAAATACAATAAAAGGCGACACAGGAAGCTGCTTGATGTGCTAGATCCCGCCCACATCTTCACACAGGAGCTGTCAATCAATCATTAGAGATCTGCAGCTAGAACACAAAACACAGAACGGAGACTCAAGCCAAACACAGAATGACATACCATAATAATATGACTTTTTTTTCATATGTTCGACATATTATACTAGGATTTTCGAACTACTAAACTATGACTTTTTGGAGAAAATCGTCGACATTTTCTGAAGTTTTCGAGATACTTTACTATGAAATTTTTAGGACATTTTCGACATGCTATACTATGACTTATTTCTCTTTTTTTTCGACACATTCATTTCTTTTGAAGTTTTCGAGATACTGTACTATGACGTTTTTTTTTACACCTTTTTTATTTGTCTACGGAAACTGCATAGCAACCGATAGAAAGAGATTAGTCTAAACTCTCTGCATGTTTTTCCTTAAACTATTTTAATTAAAAACTACTCCTCAGATCCTGCTGTGTCTGAAATCCCTGGTCCTTGTCTTGCAGGCTGCGAACACGCCCACCTCCTGAGCTTCAGGCATCCATTCTCTGCAGAGGAACACCCGCTTCATCATCACAAAACTAAACAGTGACAAAAAAAAAAAAAAAAATCCAGTTTTTGGTTTGAATTGGTGTCAAAGCATGGGATGGACTTTTGCCTTAAGGAGCCTTCACTGACTGACCAATAGAAACCACTGCCGGGGGGTCAGAGGTCAACGAGCCGTCCTGTGATTGGATGTTCGTCCTCACAACCAGACGAGTCGGTGTAACTGAGTCAGCAGTTTTTTCATTTTTACGTCTTTTTTTAATCTCAGGAGTCGCTGAACACCCAGCAAAACAAACTTCGTCCATAACGCGCTCCGACCCACGGAGGAACCCAGCGAGCGTTCCACGGAGGAACCCAGCGAGCGTTCCACGGAGGAACCCAGCGAGCGTTCCACGGAGGAACCCAGCGAGCGTTCCACGGAGGAACCCAGCGAGCGTTCCACGGAGAGGAGGCTTTGCACAACGTTTCGTTAAAGCTGCTTTTCAAATGATTGCTGTTTTTTTTATTTGATTAAATCACTAAAAACATTCCATCCTGGTCCGACACGTCGCCTCATCACAACGTGTTCTGGAAATGTTTTGCTGCAGATCTTCGAGAAGCGTTTTTTGCTGCGCCCGGACTATTTTTTTCTCGTCGTTAAATGTCTGAATGTTTTGCACAAAATGTCGTTGAAGCTTTTTTAATTGATTGCTGTTTTTTGTTTAAAACACTAAAAAAAACATTCTCATCCTGGCCCGGAGCCGAATCACAACTTTTTGCTGCAGATTTTGAGCTTCTTAAAGCGACGGGACTACTTTTCTCGCCCCGTTAAACGTCTGAATGTTTGCTGGGTCTGCACAAGAACTAAAGGGCACAAAAACACTGGAGGGGAAGGGTCTACTTTCCGTGAAACGCCTCATGCTGCCGTCCCGTCGCTGTCGGGCGTCGAGGTTACAGACTGTGATTGGTCGTAGAGCTGTTGCAGACTGTGATTGGTCGTAGAGCTGTTGCAGACTGTGATTGGTCGTAGAGCTGTTGCAGACTGTGATTGGTCGTAGAGCTGTTGCAGACTGTGATTGGTCGTAGAGCTGTTGCAGACTGTGATTGGTCGTAGAGCTGTTGCAGACTGTGATTGGTCGTAGAGCTGTTGCAGACTGTGATTGGTCGTAGAGCTGTTGCAGACTGTGATTGGTCGTAGAGCTGTTGCAGACTGTGATTGGTCGTAGAGCTGTTGCAGACTGTGATTGGTCGCAGAGCTGTTGCAGACTGTGATTGGTCGTAGAGCTGATACAGACTGTGATTGGTCGTAGAGCTGATACAGACTGTGATTGGTCGTAGAGCTGTTGCAGACTGTGATTGGTCGTAGAGCTGTTGCAGACTGTGATTGGTCGTAGAGCTGATACAGACTGTGATTGGTCGTAGAGCTGTAGTTTGTTTTTGCACTGGGACAGAAGGAAGAGGAGATCTTCCATGTCTTCGTAACGGAGGACTTTAGAGTCGCTGGACGTCCTGTTTGAGACAAGAAGGACAGTCGCACTGCCAAAACCAACAAGGAGTTATTATATCAGAAATATTCTGTCCATGAATTTGGGGAATGACAGAAACATATCTGCAGGCCGGTCCGAGCCTTCATTGCTCAGCATCTTCTCTATCAAAGTAACAACTATCACGAGACAAAACTTAGTCCACGCTGTGATTCAAGAAAGTTCAAATATATAACGTTTAGCACATGGTACAGTCTCTGCTTCTGTTACAGCGTTTAGCACATGGTACAGTCTCTGCTTCTGTTACAGCGTTTAGCACATGGTACAGTCTCTACTTCTGTTACAGCGTTTAGCACATGGTACAGTCTCTGCTTCTGTTACAGCGTTTAGCACATCTTTGGAAGAGCACCACCTTTTTTATTTAGCTCAAATTTGGTGTGAATTTATAAGAACATTAGTGGAATGGAGACGAGAAGTTTCAACGCTCCGCTATCACGAACATTTGGAATATTTGGTCAAATGGAAATATTGTATTGTGCATCATTTAGATTAAATGCTAATGGGAAATTAATTAAACATCACCCATTTTATAGCATTTGGCAACTTTGATTCTTGTATTTAACCTCAAGTTTTGTGCACCTAAAGTAAATATGTGGTGGAATAAATCAATCAATTTCAAATTATACATAATATTATCGTTTTATAATGGAAAAGTGGTTTTGCATTTAACTTACATTTTGTTTGTTTCCATAAAAAAAAGGTACAAATCGCCAAATTTGGTGTTTTTGTTTATCTTTGGTCCAAAATATGCAAAACTTTGGCAGCCAAACATTAAAAAAAAACACAAATAAAACCCATTAATTGGTGCAATTTGTGGGACGTTGTAACAAAATCATTGAGTGTTAACATTAAATCATAATTGAACGATAAAGTTTGTGGCTCGGCCCGACTGAAAACTGAACAGGAAATACTTATCAAGACATTTTCTGAAGCTTCAGTTATTTACAATAATTTGAGTCGTTTTCCATCTTTCTGAGTTTACGGTAAAGGGAAACTGAAAGGTCACTTCCTGGATGAACAGAAGACTATTGGGACATACAATGGTAAAACACTTTGTAATTTCCTGTCAACAATTATCTTACAATTTAATATCAAACAACAATTATCAAAACGTTTTGTAAACCGACTGAATTTAATCTAATTAGATTGAGCGCCTCAAACAATAACATTTAAATAATAAAATAAAAGCTGTTTACATCATTTTGATCACACCCTGTATCGAAACTGTTAAAATATGAAGGTGTGTCAAAAGGTTTATGGACAATTACTGAAAAGTGTTGTAAAATTAACAATTTTGTATGATCCAAATGTCAGGTTTTAGAAGGTACTGAATCCAATTGGATAACAACACTAACATGTAACTGCGTTGCTTTGACCGTGTTTCAGTGTGTGTTCCGGTGAATGTGATGCAGCGTCGTCGTGGCCTTGTGGTTCAAACACCCGAAGTTCCATCTCACTGTTAGATATCAATGTACTGTACATACTAACTACTGCTTAATACTCTGTTTCTACTCGTCATTACAAAAAGTACTTCTCGTGGAAATGTTGCTTTTGAGGTTTGTTTTTTAAAAAGTTGTTGTGTATGTGAATCATCTTTACCTGAGCCAGGAGTTCTCGGAGAACGGAGAAACGTTCGTGGACAGAGAAATGTTTGTGGAAATGTTTGTGGAAACGTTCGTGGTAACGTTCACGGACAGAGAAACGTTCGTGGAAATGTTCATGGACAGAGAAATGTTTGTGGAAACGTTCGTGGAAACGTTCACGGACAGAGAAATGTTTGTGGAAACGTTCGTGGACAGAGAAACGTTCGTGGAAACGTTCACGGACAGAGAAACGTTCGTGGAAACGTTCGTGGACAGAGAAACGTTCGTGGAAACGTTCACGGACAGAGAAACGTTCGTGGAAACGTTCGTGGACGAGAAAACGTTCGTGGAAAACGTTCGTGGACAGAAACGTTCGTGGAAACGTTCGTGGACAGAGAAACGTTCGTGGAAACGTTCATGGACAGAGAAACGTTCGTGGAAATGTTCGTGGACAGAGAAACGTTCGTGGAAACGTTCGTGGACAGAGAAACGTTCGTGGAAACGTTCGTGGACAGAGAAACGTTCGTGGAAACGTTCATGGACAGAGAAACGTTCGTGGACAGAGAAACGTTCGTGGAAACGTTCATGGACAGAGAAACGTTTGTGGAAATGTTCGTGGACAGAGAAACGTTCGTGGAAACGTTCGTGGACAGAGAAACGTTCGTGGACAGAGAAACGTTTGTGGAAACGTTCGTGGAAATGTTCGTGAACAGAGAAACGTTCGTGGAAACGTTCGTGGACAGAGAAACGTTTGTGGAAATGTTCGTGGACAGAGAAACGTTCGTGGAAACGTTCGTGGACAGAGAAACGTTCGTGGAAACGTTCGTGGACAGAGAAACGTTCGTGGACAGAGAAACGTTCGTGGACAGAGAAACGTTTGTGGAAATGTTCGTGGACAGAGAAACGTTCGTGGAAACGTTCATGGAAATGTTCGTGGAAACGTTTGTGGACAGAGAAACGTTCGTGGAAATGTTCGTGGAAACGTTCGTGGACGGAGAATCGTTCTTCGGTCGCCCGTCTGTCTGGATTCCGGGAACGGACTCAGCGCTGTACACTCTTCTTCTTCTTCTTCTTCTTCTCTGATTCTTTCTCTTGCTTAGTGTGTGTCGGTCAAACGTACGTCATTGGTGCCATTCTCGTGCATTGTGTCACTTAAAGTTTGAGGGCGATCCTCGTCACGAAGTTTTAATGTGTGTGTGTTGAACAAATAAAATGTTGCAGACACATTCGTCCTGCATTTACTTTCTGTGTATTAAATATAAAGACATGATGTAGAACTTTTTAAAGACTTTTAGAATAGTACGTTGTAAAAATATCGGAATTCTTTTGAACAACTTTATGGTACTGGACGACCTCTTATAGCATATATTCTTTACGACATAGCTTAGTGTTTTTTTCACAATCTTTTTCGACAAATTCTTCCATAACTTTCTAAAAATACTAGACTTTCAACATAATATTGAAAATATATATTACTTTTTTAAAGACAATTTAAACAGTTTTTAACAACGTATACTTTAACTTACACCGAACACATAGAAGTGTGTGTCGTAACAAGTCCTTAAGTTCAAGGTTTTTTACTTTCATACAAGATACTAATGAGATGTTTTACATACATTAGTTTACTACATACTATGCTACGACTTTTAGATACTTTAACCCCAATTTGGGAAATTATTTTGTTACAGAAGCATTGTGTTCAACATTAACGGTGCGTCCACACGGCAGCGTGCGTTGAAGTTTGCCGGTGGGCGTGTCTGGCGTGTGACCAACAACCAATCACATTATTCTCCCGCCCCGGACACACAAGTTTGATTGGCCAGAGCTTGTACTGGCATATTATTTGATTGGCTGGCACTTCCGTCGACGCTT